TATTACCCTGGTTTTTTGTTTTAATTTGTAATTCTTATGCTTAATTACTGTTACACACAGATGAACAAAGGAACTCCTTGCAGCTCGAAGAGAACACCGTCCAGTGATGACCGTGAGGCTGGTGAAGCATCAGTATTGGAACCTGTTGCCTGTTTTTGATTTGCTATTAGTGGAACATTTTGTTTTTGTTTATGTATATTTCAAAACTGACGTGGAACATGTCATTGTCATTGCTTTAAGTTTTAACTGTGCTGGAAATGTTGGAATAAAATTTTTTTATCATGCAGATGATCATGCTTAGTTCTGGTTGTGGCAATAACTTGGGTACCATCTGTTGGACGGTAAAGTGACTGATAAAATGCCAACTAGCCTTGTTTAATTGGTTATTGGAAGTGGGCAGTTCTAGAGCCACTTATTCTATGATATTTTAATGGATAACCCAAAAACAGCCTTCATGTTATATATTTTGCTGTCTTACATGGTAAAATGGTTGTATGTACATTCTGCTTTTTCCAATGCTTTTATATTTGTGAGAGATATATACTAAAATCAAGGTTTTGAATAAAAAAGATTACAGTTTTTGGCACAATTTAAGATTCCTTTTTGTCACTGATAATTTGTTAGACTCACAGGCAAATCCAACGACACATTTGGCACAATGTTTACATAAATATAAGCTTCATTACAAGCAAATTCGACTACTAAACCGAAGGCCAATGAACATACAACAAACATAATTNNNNCAATGAACATACAACAAACATAATTGACATCATCTTTAATGCCGATTACATAAACATGAAGTTCAACAAGTACAACAAAATTCTTTAATTGATCAACTCGAACCATGTCTGTAACCACATTCAACGCAATGGTGTCGGGGACTTTTCCAATTGGGCAGTTCCTATGAGTGGACTGTAACCAAAAATCCAGGCAGGTCCTCCGAATCCGATTTACTGGCTGTGGTCGACAAGGATATGAAATCATTGATACAACCACAGATCATTCAAGGTGCTTCTGAAAGTGCTCCGAGTTGACCCCAATGTAACTTCAAAAATGACGCTTCAAATCACACATAATTGCCTTCAACACAGGATTCCCTTCATCGTGCACGAAACGGATCATAACTCAGATAATATCTAATTCTTAAATAACCCTCAAAATCTCCATATGCAGGAAGTATTTCCATCTAACTCCCTTAAATCTAGCAAGCCTAATTTTTCCACTAATCACAAAATCTATACTAAAATTGCACTTAAAACAAAGATTTTTGCTAGACGAAAATGTATTGGCTGAAAGCAGTTTGTAACCCAGTCCAAACGAAAATGTAACCCACACTGAAATCAGTTTCTTCAAATATCTCCCCCATGTCTGTATTGGCTGAAGAGGTTCGTTCCAGGTGGGGCTGTTTGGAATTGATTTCGGGTTCGTTCAACTGACAGATTTGGAGGGGTGATTTTGGCTGAACAGGTTCGAAGAAGGTGGGGCGATTTCGGTTTGGAGGGATGATTTCCGGGTAGTTCAATGTCGCGTGTTCGGAGTTGAAGGGAGGTAGTTAGGGAAAAACCAAATTTAGGGCTCTTACTCGACAGGATTTGGGTTGGATTGGAATGGGGGATTTGGTTTAGGGTTGTTCGAATTGGGGATTCCTCCCTCAAATTGAACTGGTTGAAGGCGAGAATGGTGGTTTTGTATTGAAGGCGTTCTGACGTGGCATGGAGTTGACGCCGTCTCTTGCCAATTAGGATGCCGTCCAGCCAGGTAAGAAACGGGAGACTGGTGGTGAGGGAAGGAGTGAACGGTGGGCAAGTTCAGTGACCCATGGGCAGAAAACTGAAGTTGAGTTACCACAACATGACAAAGTTCCAAGTTCAGTGACTAATGAAAGTTTTTACTCGTGAAATCAGTGACCCAAAAACAGCAGCAGCCATCGAGTTAAATGTTTTATTAGCCACTGAACTTTGAGTTATGTCACGGTTTACTCACCGAACTTTC